GGGAAGCCAGCCACTAACCGCTCGAGCTATGGTGCGGCCTAACTCATATTAATATCATACAAAATATACATATCAGTACAACGCATATAATGAGCCTTTTCTTCAAATGCCTCGATTCCAATCTAAACACGGACACTGCTTAATGGGATTTCTGGCAAAGGGCATGCTTATAAGATAGGACGTCTTCAATTAAAAGTAGTTTCTCAGTCCGCCTGAACAAAATCCCTAAAAAATTGCGATACTCTCGAGCAGAACGTTCCAGCACTGGGAGTCTTGCAGTCCAGAGAATCATCTATTGCACAGAAGGTGACAACACTTGCTGGACAATATGGAAGTATTACTATGAACTATATTATTATTATAACAATATTTAATCTTAAATAATCATCAAAATATTTTAATCATCATTTGTTTAATTTTATTTTCACGTAACACAAACTCCGTGGCCTGAGTCCGCAAGCGAACTATACCGACCGAGCGACCGCCGCTTGTTGGCGAAATTAGTGTCAACTTTAGGGGATAGAGGGTGTCGCGTGGTCAGCGCAACGAATCCCCACGGCCTTTAATTTCGGTTTTCTAGACCGGATCAGTAAGACAACTTGTAGATTTATGTGAGATAATTAATCTTTACACAATACCACAGTGAGGCGTGCTGTCTCCTGTTGCTGAAACTCTCTATTCACAGGTCCGAACCCCACTCGGCACGTGAATGCATAGCTGCAATATCTTGTGTTTGTGTAGTCCTGTGCAGGTAAAGCTCATGCGAGAGAAACATCGCCTTTTCATTGACCCCTACCCATTATTTATAAGTAAGACTTTTCAACTACCGACCCGTGGCATATTTTTACCAGTGAGAGAAAAGAATCCTTTCTTAAAACGGTTGGTTAATTCTAAGACAAATTACTTGTCTCACAGACTATACCCTCACAGGGTGTGCATGTAACACAAACACCATGTTTCTTTCCCTACTGTCTTTGAGGAACCTCCCTCGCCTCAGGAATTCAAATCCCCAGTGATCATTTCGATGGCTCACGAGACAGACTTTCAACATTTTACTGGTCTGCAATACAGTTTTGTTTCAGCAACACTACGATAAGTGGCGTCATTATTGCGATGTGGTAGCGAATTTGATAAATCTCCTTAGTATACACTTCAAATTCTTTCCGCCTGCAAACATGTTTCTTAATGCCTATGGAAGTGGAATGTTGGTGTTAAATACGGTTACACATACAAATGAAAACTACATAAGAAAGTCCTTGGGAGGGCTTCGAATTCGCGACTGTTGAATTGTGGGACTAAAAGTACAAAAAAGAATATTTGTTGGTTCATCTTCTATTGTTCGCTTAATATAAAGAATGCAGATGCCTACCTGATTTTGGAGAATCAATAACAATGTACCGTATTTGCGCATGTATAGGCCGCACATTTTTTGCCAAAAATTCAAGAGGAAAACTGGGGTGCGGCTTATATTCGAAATATTCGAAATCATACTTCATTTAAAAAAAATTAACGTTGCACAAATTTCGGAATAATTTCTACTCCTGAAATAATATTCCAAGAAAATTATGTTTTCTATAATTTGTCTGAAAATTGTGCTGCGGCCTATACACGCACGCGGCCTATACATGCGTAAATACGGTATTTGATCCCGTATATCCCCTGTATGACACCAAAAGTGAAACTGGGGGGAAAATATATAACGCAGTGTGCAAACTGTCATATCAGAGCTGGGAGCCTAATGAAGATTTACGAAAGAGAACAAAGAATGTTCAATTATTTCATGCGCTAAAACGCTGCATTGTTTTGTCCTCGCTGAGTACAATCATTATAAATACTAATAGATTCTCAACACAATACAACCGAATAGTTGAAATCACACAAAACATTTGTTAGAGAGCAAAGATGAAGAACTTTGGTAAACATTTTGTCTCTAACCCATGATAACATGAATAAAAATAAAATAAATTTGGAAAATGCTGAAAGCAAAAGAAGGCAAATTATTCATGTGCTTGATTAATTAAGCGCTATGACATGAAACCATATGAGGGGCGGAGGTATAGCTCCACTATCCTTGACCTTGGCACTAGATTGAGGTAAGTGGTGAGTTTGACACTCCTGCCGCTTTACCTCGGAGGAGAAAGCCCCCGGTACTCAGTGGATAGGAGACTGGGTGGGCCCAAGAGCCGGTCTGGACTCCATGGAGAGAAGAAGAATCTGGTCCCTACCGAGAAAATAATGAAAACAGTGGATAAACTTAAGTAGTTCATCGGCAGCGCCATAGCTCAAGCGGTTAGTCGCTGGCTCACCGATCCCGGGTCTGCTCAAGTGGGATTGTGGTTTTCTCCGAGTACTTCGGTTTCCCCTGCCAATCTTCATTCCACAAATTGCTTCACAGTCACCCTCACCTATCATCTGGGGCTGGTACAATAGGCCAGAAGTGGCCGCAGTACAAGGGACTTAGTTCCACTCCACTAGCAAAACAAAAAACAAAAAAAAAACAAAAAACCGAGTTCATCGCACAGAGAAAGTATGGTTATGTGTGCGTATGAGTATATGTATATTATGTGAATATATCTGATAAAGGCAACGTGTCCGTTTCCGGGATTGGGACGCTGAAATGGTGAGCAAATATGGTTTACGTGCACGGATACGGAAGGAAGTGTCGGTTGCCAGTTTTAAGGTAATGTCTCACCAACTCTCGGTGGGGATTATCAGTATTTCCGTGAAACAGAGAAAGGAGAAGGCGGAGGAAAAGTAAGTATTTTCATTGTCTATAAGTGAGGACATCTTATTGGGTGGAAAGGAGGAAATGATTCATGGGTCGTGGCAGACGTCACTGCTAAGTTTCCGACTGAATAAAGCATTCATATGTTTCCATTCCCGAAATTTGCGATAACGAAACAACACGATTTATGGAAATGATGCGTTCCGAGCAACAGAGAATTACAGCGATAAATAAATGCTACACAGAGAAGCGAGAAAGAGTCATCTACCGAAAACTAATTTCATACAAGATCAGCATGACACTGAACTGCGCATGGAAACAAAATTACTATTCTGAGATAAAGCATAATTTTGTTACTTTTGCCTTCGATAAAAGCAATAGAAATATGCTGAGTCGAATGTTGTAGCAAAATACCTTCAGTTGTATAACATTGTAAATGTTATCTCTCTGTCTAGCTCTTTATCCCTGTTACTCACACTTCGAACAGAAGGCATTCGTGAACCGCTTCGTTTCACTTCATTTTCTTAATCTTAGACAGTCGGTATGACCCCTTAGGCGGGGGATCAGCCCAACGCAAGACAGCTACCAACACAAACATCCATGCCTTAGTCCGCGCGGCCGCTGTGATCGGCTGTAAATGTTAGGTAAGGTAAAATTATCCCTGGGCTTAATAAATTAAGCACCAAGCCATGAAGGCGTGAAGGTATAGCTCCACTGTTCTTAACCTCGGAACTTGAGGGAGGTGAAGGATGAGTTTCGCGTCCCTACAGCTTTACCACGGGGGAGACAGCCCCAGACACCCACTGTATGGATGAGCCCCAGAGCCGGTCTGAAAATTACGAAGATAAGGATCTCTTGTTCCTAACTGGAATTGAACCCCGACTCATGGGTTATCCAGCCCTTAATCTAGTCGATATATCGACTGAGTTATCCCGGCTCGTTTATAAAAGTCAGAACAGTCTGAGAGCACAAAAAGGGGCGTAACTGAGAGGGAGCACGCAGCGGCTGAGAACCTGTTTTCTCCGTCATTGTCAACTGAACTGAAAGAATCTTCATGTTCGTAAATTTGATCGACCAGACGTTTCGGAATATGAAGGCTATACTGAACGAGAATTCCTAGCAAGACTAAAATTCGCTAGATATCAGTAGAAAATCTATAGGCAGGATCTTGAAGGCCGAAACTCAAACAATGTAGTAACCTTCTAAAACAAATCAAATTAAAAAAAAAACTTCTAAAACAGTTTACTATCTCCCTGAATTCAGGAGCCACACTTGCAATAAACACATATCGCAAAATATAACGAGAGTAATGTTATGTGATCTTTACGTCAATCATACAACCACGGATCCTACGTTGCAATAAATACGTAAGCTTAAATATTGTGGCATGTTGACCCGTTGCTAGGCAACGATCACGAAATAAGTAATTATACAAGATTTGTTACTAAGTAACTGCACCGCGAAGACACGTTTCCATGCCAACAACTGCACTGCAAGAGAGGAACCATGTTTTCTATGCGGTCCGTGCCGAGATGTTATAAGCAAGACAAGTTAGTGGTAGAAAAACATACCCTTCCTTCTTCGAAGAGGAGGCCGCATTTCGAAACAGGTACATGTCTTGAAGAGAATAAAAATTTTGGTCATGTACCTCGAGGAGACTGAAGCCAGGAATGGCTGTGCTGGCGAAGACCAGAAGCAATTTAGCCTACCGACCTACAGAGAGAACTGGCTGGTTTTTCAGAATTGGTTCATTAATTTCTGAGTGAGTAAGTGAGTTAGATAACCTCAGGAGTTCACTTGTGAGCTGGTGATCTGAGAAGTTGGTAGCTGAGGCTGGGGGCGACCGGAATCCAGAGGAAAGGGAACGTCTGCCATTGAAGCCGCTACCAAGCAAAGGCTAGTAAAGACTGTAACAGACTGAGGATCCCTAATGTCCCATATAGATTACTGAAATGTGTAGAACAGTGAGAGCAGTTACGAGTTGAAGAGTTCAATAAATCCAATTATCAATCCCAACCACTTCCATATTCACCCTCGTATACAGGATAATATTAGAAGATAAAAAGATATGTATAATTATGAAACTATCATTATCCTGGCTTAAAGATAAAGGAGTGATAACATTTTGAATCAGAGAATATTACTTGCCTAGAGCTTCACATGCTATATTTCACTTAATATTAATGAAGAGTTTTTAAACAAAGCAAAAAAATAACAAGAACGAAATTAATATTGGCTATTGGATAGAGTTAGAATAAAACAGTCTATTACTCACATTGACGTTACTCCGGGATATTCTGTTGTCACTTCCGGTTCAGACTGTCAAGCGAGGCTCGCAACGACACATTTCAGCTCTTTGTGTTCCTATCGATTCTGTGAAGGAAGAAAAAGAACCTGTGAATTGCACACGAATAATCGGTTCAGTGACTTATTCATGCCATGACTATCTGTCAATCCAGTGCTTGTTGCTCCCACTTCGGAGCAAATGGAATTCGTGAAGCGCTTTGTTCCCCTTCAGGTTCTTAATTTTAGAGAGTCGATAGGACTCCTTGGACGGGGGATCAGCCCAACGCAAGGCCGCTACCTACACAGGACAACACAAACAGAGTAAATGCATACAGACATGCATGCCTTGAGTGGGATTCGAACCCATGATCCCAGTATTCAGGCGAGTGAAGACCATTCATGCCTTAGATCGCGTGGCCACCGTGACCGGTACCAAAGCTAAACTTGCGGCAATGCGGCACGCGTTACTTGTAGATAACACGAGAGAAGCGGCAATTACATTCCTGCCGGGGCAGTTTTATATTTTTAATTGGTAAATTTTTCCGGTCTCTTAGGTTATGGGTTAAGTACCGGTGCCCGAGCGGGTTGGCATAGCGGTATCGCTCTAGACTCGTATTCGGGAGATGCTCGATTCGAATCTCGGACGAGACGCCAGCTATCCTGACTAAAGTTTCTAGTGGTTTACCTCAGTCCATCCGAGAAAATTCTGGAAGAGTACCTCGATTCAACCATGACTGTTTCCTTCCAAATCTTCTAAAGTTCACCATTTATTAACCATCCTACGATTCAACGCTGGGTAGTTTAGATAGTGACAACGCCGTAAATAAGCCGCAAATTAATTAGTGACCTTAGAGCATCCCATCAAAATTTTAAGCCGCAATATCCAAGTACTACGGCCGGTGTGAGTAAACAACTGACTCAGTTTTGAATCGTAAGTACAGCATTCTGACTTGCAGACACATTTCTAAACAACGCCACAAATACGCACATGCAATAATAAGAAAGTATTGGAAGAAGAGTTTCTTATGTAGTCCGCGTCATGCGGACACGCATTCTGTCAACACAAGATGTGTTTTCTATGTGATCCGCGCAATACCCAGTGATACGTAACGGGTCAATAAACAAGCATTCTTGACACGTGACAAGTGTTTTCCGTGAGGTCCACCCCGAAGCTATATTAGGCGGAATTCCAAGTGAGATGACATTAACCCTTGTGAAGGCGGTGTCGAATACCCCCACCGTGACCCTGCGAGTCCAAGGAGGAGATGAAAAGGGAAGTCTCAAATCTGGGACAGTAATATATGATCGCGAGTACCGAGGGACTCGGACCTGAGAAAGACTGCGCTGGCAAGGACCAGCAGCATGCACTAATGACAGACCCGTCTTCTCGTCAGAGAGGGCGCCCCACAAAAAACAAGATCGTAACTGTCAAACAGTAATCAATATCTGGTCATAAGCACCAGACGGGGCTCGACACCAAGACTTACTGAACGACTGCACGTCAGTCGCAATGTGACTTTGACTTTGAATTTCAGATGGCAATTGTAGGAGCAGTCAGTCACAGCACGAGAACGAGAATTGAGCGAGTCCTCGGCAGTCAAGTGTTCGGCTAAAGATTTATTGTGAGCTGCTGTAAATTGATTGTGAAGAAGAGTAATTGTAAATGAAGTGTTAGTAAATCCTATCATCCAATCAAGAACTCATTATTATTAGTCACAGAACCCCGGACACGTGACAGTACACACTCTACTCATTGCAACCTACATAAGTTGAGATGCATATATGGTGTTCCGGCTTACATGACAATATTACTTATACATAGCCGTGAATTCCTAATTTACAAAGAATTTTGCTCATAAATGTATATTCAGACGTCATATATCCTGTCCATCCTCGACGTGCTCAAACAATTGTTCATGTGTTTTTCTGTTTCCAGCGGGCCCTCCACTCTCACGAAACTTCCGCCATCGCGGATATCCGTAACCGCAAGCTGACATCCTGCGGTCATGTCCAGACCGGTATGTTACGAGAGCAAAGTCAGGCTATTTACAGAACTCACTGCTTTCACGAATATTACAGCGACTAAAATACTGTCTTATTAATGCGAGATCCGTGGCGTAATTGGTTGAGGCACTATGCTGCAATCCGGAAGGTCGCGGGTTCCAGTCCCGATGAGGTGGATCTTTTTCAGTTGACCTTTCAGTTTCCCTTGCCTATTTTCATTCCACCGACTGCACCACACTCATCATCTATCATCCGAGATTGGTACAACAGGCCAAACAGTGGCCGACGTACCAAGTGGACACAGTCTCGCTCCACCCAAAGAAACTAGAAAAGATAAACAGGGTCCTTAAGAAGATGATAGTCGCTCAGATAGTCAAAAGCATCCTTTTCTTATGGAACCAGAAGTACCATTGCCGTGTCCACGAGAGCCTGACACTAGTCCATATCTGAGACAGATCAATGGAGTCCAATTTCCACCCCTTGTTTTAAGACTAATTTAAAAGTAATCCTTCCATGTTCTACTGAGTTTCACTAACGAACTCTTCCTTTACCTTCCCTTAAAGCAGAGGACTCTACAACCACAACCACGCCACAGGGGTCTCACTTGCACTGACTGTACGCGGGAAGTGGGGGCGGTGCGGACGAGCTAAACAATAAGCACGGAGGCCGCACGTGCGGGAGAAGAAAGTGGAGATGGTCCTAATAAGGAGGGAGAGTGACGGCAGAGACAGGTTCAAGAGGACGACAGAAACTCGCTGCAAAGATAAATGTCCAGACAAATCAATAAGATCAAGCTTAAGGTCTTTCGACCCCATTCTGCAGCAGGATCCTGCAACCATATAATGCTCTCAACGCAGCGCGTCAGAACTGCAACTGAACTAAAGCCATATCGAATGTATTCATTTCTATAGCGTCTCAAAATTTTATCAGCAAATATTTCGAGTTTCTTTTCCTACTGTCTATTTAAATAATATATTTAAAATATTTCTATTGAGAAGAGGCAATATCACTTAAATTCTGGTTTTCAAGAAACAGACCATTTTCTTTTTAAAAACAGTAGCGTCCGCAGAATAGTAGCAGAAACAGCAGCAGCAGCAGCAGCAGCAGTAGTAGTAGTAACAATAGTGGTTAGTGTGGTAGTAGTATCAGTAGTAGCGGTATGAAGAGTGGTGTTGGTAGTATTAGTAGTAGTAGGAACAGCAGCGGTGGTGATATAGTAGTAGTGTTGGTTGTGGTAGTAGTAGTGGTAGTAGTAGGAACAGCAGTGGTGGTGATATAGTAGTAGTGTTGGTAGTAGTATTAACAGTAGTGGTAGTGGTAGTAGGAACAGCAGTGGTGGTGATATAGTAGTGGTGGTGGTGGTGGTGGTGGTGGTAGTAGTAGTAAACGTGGCGGTAGGAACAGTAGTGGTGGTAGTAGTGGTGGTAGTAGGAACAGCAGCGATGGTGATATAGTAGTAGTAACAGTAGTAGTGTTGGTGGCAGTAGTAGTAGTAGTAGTAGTGGTAGTAGGCACAGCAGTGGTGGTGATATAGTAGTAGTGTTGGTAGTAGTAGTAGTAGTAGTAGTAGTAGGAACAGCACTGGTGGTGATATAGTAGTAGTAGTAGTAGGAACACTAGTAGTTGTGGTGGTACGTACGAGTAGTACGAGTAATAGTAGTAATAGTACGTAATAGTGACAATAGGCAGATGTTTCACATCAAGAGGCGTAATGTAGGAAAAAACACAGATTAATAATTGCATTACATGAAACTAAGCCATACTGTACGAGTAAACATCAGCCTCATTATGTTATGTAAAACAACAATTATACGTATACTACGATGTAATCAATTACTAATTATAAATAAAGCAACTGTGGTAAAAGACCAGCTGCACGGTAGGAAAACAAAGACGGTATGTACGACTGCTATTGCAGTCTTCGGCCGACAGGAACGTAAAAAAAATCTACGCAACCAAAATGAGTGTGAATCTTAATGACTATAGACGGGGTTTGGATTGGTGAAGGACTTACTGACCAGTTACAGGGCGTAACTATAAATAACTATAATAGTAACGCTGATTTTCACGCCGCAAATCACTCGACACTATGTCTTTTCAGTCCTCTTTCACTAGTCTTTACTTGGTAACCGTCTGCACAGCTGCTATTCCTCTGCAATGTTTTCGCTAGACGTTTCCTAGTAACGAACCTTGGCAATGGATATTTTTAAGCTTTCGTTGCCCGCTGGTTAACACTGCCCTGTAGCGCTAACCGTTTTCAAGTCACCTCCTCGGTACGGACCACGCAGGAAACACAGCCTCTATTATTGACGAGGCGTGTTTAGAGCGCCGTTGCCTAGCAATAGATGTCCTATTTTTGCGCGCGTTGGCTCCCGCGGGAACGTGTTTACCAATTTGTTGCCTAGCAATGGGTATACATGTCACAATATATTTTAATGGCCTAGATTAATTATATTTCCGTACATCTTCTCCAGATCGGAAAGCGTTTCCACGCAAAATAATCGAACAGTCGCCTAAGAGTACAGACACTTCATATCATGTTATTAACACAGCTCATAGAAGTAAATCCAGTAAAATTTCGAAAATCAAATTTTTACGAAAATCTATTTCTTTTTTTCATCGCATTACAAATTTAAACAGTCAAGAAGGTTGTGGTTTTCACGGCAGTGATTGTTCAGACTTGGGCATTCTGGACTGCGATAACGTACGGGCAGTTTCTAGGAACATGCTGCTTCCATCTTCAGAAACTTAATATTCGACCCTGCAGCTTAGTGCATGAGATTCTTCCGAAAAATGTTCATGTACATTCAAGATTGCATGGTGTGACAATCCTGAAGCCCCCCCCAATCCGAACAAGAAAGCAGCATAACTTGATTTGCTTTCCTCTGGTAGAAGGGAGTGCATCTGAAAGTGAAGTAACTTCAAATCCAAGACTGGGCAAAGATAAAACTTAGACTACAAGGAACTCCCATTAGAGTCAAAACTTGTCACCCAAGTTTCCAGCAGTGAGGTATTTCAATGTATATTTGGGCGTGGCGTTCTTGATACCGCTAACAGTAACAAATGCATGAATATATGTCACTAACGATCCTTTGCACGCAAGGTCTCTACAATCGCACAGCGACTAAGGTCTCAGGCTGGTAGCTTTCGGTAAGTGCTTCTCATTAAATATTTATATTCTGCCCTCTACGCAGTAATGCTAGTCTGCTACTGGCCGGTTCGAAACAATTGCCCTACAACTAGTTACCTTACCGCATAATTAATTATGCCCGCTAAACTTTCTCTTGCTTTACTAGGCGATTAACTGCGAATAAATAAGTTTAGCTCATTTTGGATTGTTCTAACGAAAACTCATCTGAAGATTTGTTAGTTTCTCCGTTTGTCTACAATGCAACTTGCAGTTAAGGCTGGGGCCACACGAGCGCACAAAATACGTCCGTTGTAACGAACGTACTTTATGACGGACGTTGCTGAGGATACCACACAGTTGCAGAATGCGGTGCGTAGTTTTCTGTCTGCAATGGAGCCAGAAGAAAGCGTAGCATTCGCCTCTCGCCACGACGTTCGTTACAACGGACGCATTTTGTGCCTCGTGTGGCCCCAGCCCAAATGGTAGTAAACAGAAGGTGTTGGAGGAAGAATGGCGACTTTTTTCAATTGTTATTTTGAAAATCATTAATTCTATTTTAATGTAATCTTCGTCGTGTAATATAATTTCTGGGCACTTATACGGCTGTATAATATACGTTGCGAAAGAGCAGTGTAGTTATGCAAGTTGGCCCAGAAATCAGTTAACTGTTTAATAAAAAATACGTCAGAGATTTCTGTAGTATTTATCGAATTTACAACATTTTTTTCTAAATGAGATCCTCTATTTTCCAATGAATAACTCACAACAGCCTTTAATAGGAGAGAATATTTTAGGGTAACTCATTTGGGGTCACTCTATATATCTTTTTAGATTTCAATTATTCATATAATTTGGATTTATATTTACTTAAATGTCCACTTTGTCCAAACTACCCTATAATCTCGTTTGTATAAATTTTATAGCAGAAAATAATTTAATGATAAATGTAAGGTTCATTTAAATGAAAGCAAATTATTAAAATGAAAGAAACTCGGTAAACTGAGATCACAGCTTCTTTGCGCTTACTGCATACATGTGCTATGAAGTTGGAGATAACAGAATTCCCGGAAAGCTGGGCAATGCAGTCCAAAGGTATACAGCACCATTATCCAAACATATAAGACTTAAAAGTTCGTGACGATGGTATATTAATACAATTATTGTGTTTTTGGATATTCTAGACGATGGATAATATCCAAAACACGATAATTGTATCCAAGTACATATTCAACATTAGCTGGCATATAAACATTTTATATCATAATGGTACAGGCATCAGTGGTTGTCCTGTTTTTAAGTTTCATGTCCGCAACTCTCATATGACTGCTAAGGACATCCGTCGTTACAAGAGCATGTTCCATTCTCCCAACATGCAAGTTATGTTCGCCAAAACAATAACCCGTCCAGACTAGCACGGACCGTACGGGTGGCAATAAACTCGTTCTAATGCTTGTTCCACTCTTTAGTCACATGGCGAAGAATTTACATTATACTGAAATTTTAAACCGAAAAGACACGACTTGCCTGGAACAATTTTTATTTCGAAATTTAATGCTCCATATAAATCTGAATGCAGACACCTGAAGGCTAATATTTTTATATTGTGACATGTGAACTCATTGCATAGGTAGCGGCTTACTGATACGCGTATCGGGGACGAACAGCTGGAAGAGTCGGTTGTTGAACAACGGCTCCATAAGCACTGTTCTCACAGCAACGTAGACAGACGTTTTCTGCAAACGGTGATGTCGTTTTCGCGACAACGGGTAGCTGAACTGTTCGACTCGGTGTCCTCTCGGTACGCCAAGCAAACATAAAGTTGCAGTAGCAGCCGTAGCGAAGTCAGAAGTCAGAAGAAGGAGAAGGAGAAGGGAGTCGGCAGTGAATCGGCGTGCTTTCGAAAACTAAGCAGAGCTGCGTAGAGCTAAGCAGAGAGGAATTCGTTATCCAAAAGGAGTTACATGTGTAAACTGTTATAATCGAGTGTAACTGTAAAAGTGACGTCAAATAAATCCAGTTATAAAATCTAGAAGCCATAATAATTAGTCACGCTACCCCTTATACGTGATAATATGTTCTCTTGTTTGTAAACACACACAAATAGACAGGATATACAATATATATGAGAATATAATAATAATATGACATTAATGTTTTTTTGTATTCGCTTAGTGAAGGGTGGAGTCCAGCTGCGTCCACTTGGCACGGCGGCCACTAATTAGCCTATTGTACCTGCCCCGGGTGATTATGATGATGGAGAATTTGGTGGAATGAAGATTGGCAAGGGAAACCGAAGTACTCGGAGAAAACCCGCACCAGCGCCACTTTTTGTCCACCGCAAATCTCACTTGATCAGACCCGGGATCGAACCCAGGTTGCCGCGGTAGGAAGCCAGTGACTAACCGCTTGAGCTATGGCACGGCCCTGATATAACATTAAGAACGGCTCCTCTTTACTTCTTTCATTGATTTAATCCGCCACATATTTTATGAAGATGAAGAGAATTTGGCAACCCCTGTTTGGAGCATTGTGACGACATATCGACGGAACTTCATAGAGGAAGTAACTAGCTGTCGCCTGAGGTGCTGGCAGTACACTTCAGACAAGCAGAGACACTTACACTCTTCGAATTTTCTCGTGAACAATTCACAATCACTGTTTGCTGCGACACTTCACCGTCAGAACGGATTCATTTGTTTCTGTTGGTCTGTCTACAGAAGTGACTCTGTTTGTTAATTACTTTGGGAACTTCTCGGCTGCTGCGGAAAACAATTGACTGTCTACACTCCACTGCAGTGCCTGGGAGGGGGAACGTGGAATACAGGCCTATGTAACACTGTAAGTGTCAACACTTTAAATGCTACCTTATCCTTCCTGAACAGCTAAACAAGGCTGATAAGAAATCGTGTGCCTATTCGAACTCGTAACGCAAGAATCGAAGAAATTGTTACTGAAGACTAGATAAGAATGAGAGGAAATTAAATTTCAACAAAGCGTAGCATTGTTCCTAGTTGGAAAGAGACGTTTAATCTGAATAAGAAAAATTAAATAGCAGCTGCAAAGAAATCAGATACGTACATAATTTAAAATTTCAATGTTAGCAATGGAGCCAGGATAGCACAGACAGTATAGCGAATATGCTACGGGCTGCACGGCCAGGCTTCGGTTCCCAACACGGACAACATGTTTCTGTCTATGTCACAGCAATTAGACCGGTTCTGGGTCCCACTGAGCTTCCTCTCCAGTGGGTACCGAAGGCTATTTCCCCGAGAGTAAAGCGGAAACTTCAGTACCGAGGTCAAGAATAGCGGAGCTATACCTCCACTCTCCCACACGTCTTCAAGAAGTAATGCTTAATTAGTTAAGCACAGGGACAACTTTTCTTTTCCTTGGCACTACAGCCCCAGTGGGCCTAGGCCTACCTCCATGAACTTCTCTGTTCACTTCGGTTTTTCTAGATCTTACACGTTCGGTAGGACTCCTTGGGTGGATGATCAGCTCGTCGCAAGGCCTCTACCTGTATACAAACACAGAAAAACTCACACAAACATCCATGCCCTGAGTGGGATTCGAACCCACGATGCCGGTTTCCAAGCGAGCGAAGACAGTACATGCCTTAGACCGATCGTCTACCGTGACCGGCCAGGGACAATATTTACCAAAGTTAAAAGATATCTCGTATACACATATCAATACCATTGTATTTGTAGTGGTTTGTCTCTGTGGGCTACATACAAACAATCGTATCAGATGTTTTCTCTCATAATATTAGTTACAATCTGTTTACAACAACAACGATGCTCTGGTCTGGTGCTGCTGCTCACACACACACACACACGACATATAGTTGCAGTAACCTTCCCGGGGTGCCATGATCAGAGAAAACCTGTGGTCTGACGAGCCCCTGCTTCGTGTGTCCGTTAAGGCTCATAATTGCGCTTGTAACGGATAACTAATTAAACAGTGAGACTTTTGCCTGCATTCAGATGGGAATTTTTTTTCCTTTGGCGCTACAGCCCCAATTTGGGATTTGGCCTACCTCCATGAAACTCTCCGTTCGGTTTCCTAGATCTTAGACATTCGGGAGGACCCCTTGGGATAGTGATCAGCTCGTCGCAAGGCCTCTACCTTTGCACACACACACACACACACACACACATAAAAACACTTAGTATACAAGTCTTAAGTGGGATTCGAACCCACGATCCCGGCTTCTGAGCGAGCGCAGACGGTGCATGCCTTAGACCGCTCGACTACCGTGACCGGCAATGTATAAGAATAGTATATAAGAACTAAGTTCGTACCTCACAGGAAACAGATCCGAACCCACGATCCCGGTTTCCGAGCGAGCGAAGACAGTGCATGCCTTAGACCTCTCGACTACCGTGACCGGCTGATGGGAATAATAATCAGTAACTTATGGGACCTCTTATTTTTATACTGTTAAGACAAGTGGAGTTATGATGACCTGAAGGTGTAGCTCCTATTTTGGAAGCTCTACATACGCACACAGTTCTGGAAAGTGGTGACTTGAAAACACAAGAAGGAATTAAGGGCATGAAATGGATATTAGGGACGTTAATTGATTGGGTAGAATTGACTCAAGATCGTGTTCAGTAAGGTGCTTCGGTATTAGATATACTGTAATAATATTAGAATCTTAAATAATCTGCCAGCTGGTTACGTGCTAGTTATAGTCACATCAGCATGGCGGTTGTGGGCGTTTCGGAACAGAGACTAGTTTAGCCAAGATTCCGCATAGAGTCTTGAACTTTTGTATGATAACACTATCAGTAAAATTGTATTTCACTTTCTTATGACCATCAACACAACTATTCATATATTATTTAAAATTCACTATACGTTTCGACTTATTTGATGACCCTAAAGTGGTACAAAGCCGATTAATGTGGCCACGTGGCCTAAGGCATGAACCGTCTTCACCCGCTCGAACACTGGGGTCGTGGGTTCGAATCCCACTAGATGCGTGGATGTCTGTGTGTGTTTATTCTGTTTGTGTTGTCATCGGTAGGTAGCGGCCGTGCGAGGGGCTGATACCCCTCCAACGAGTCCTACCGATTGAGACACTTGAAGAAGCGATCAAGGTCCAAAGGGCTGTATAGAAAAAATAACCGGTGAAACGTCAGAAACTTTAATTAGTGAACTACTTTACTCTTGTTAATACGTTTTACTATTTAAAGTTTATGTTATTTTATCACCTGGGGATGATCAAATTTGTTGATACATACAATGTATTTTAAATAAAACATTAGGTACACAAGAACAGCAGTGTTGATGGTCATAAAACAGTAAAATGTAATTTCAGGGCAGCATGACAGCACGAAACACAACAGGATGCAAAAACTGAGAATCTGCATTGCGATATTTGGCAAACTGTCTCCAAGATGACTATAGGGGGGATAAGCTGAAGATTTCCCGTGGCAGTTACACGAGTTAAAATTGTATATCTGAAACGTATCTGGCCCTCACTGCTAATTGTAATCCCTGGCGACTGTGTCCACCTAAAGGCTCAAACATTTAAAATCCAGTCCCTCTGGTGCTGCCAAGGTAATTACTCAGCATTTCCTATTCGAGTGTCAGGGGTCACTTCCTGAATGGTGGATGCTTCTCCCACAGGATGCCATGGCCTGGGACGACATCAGGTTCCAGCTACTCATTGCGTACTCTATAATAACAACAAATTTCTTGGTTCTGGGCGGATCATCAATACCATCCAGTCTACAGTTTCCACCTGGCACTAAATCTTCAAGTTCACCATCCGAAATCAACAATCAGAACACACATCTTATGGACAACTGTACTTATCAATGGCCAGAAGTAAGTATAATTTTGCTTTTGAAATTTTCAAAGCGGAACCACGAACACAATTCGCGATATCGTGAAGAAATGACAGTTGTCAGGGAGTGTTTTGGAGAAAAATATTGAATATAGGCGGGGTTTGGATTGGTGAATAGATATACTGACCACTTACAAGTCGTAATTACAAATAACTCTAATACTATTGTTGATATCCACACTACAAATCACTCCACACTAAGCTTCCTCAGGGCCGCACCATAGCTCAAGCGGCTAGTCGCTAGCTTCCCACAGCGGCGGCCCGGGTTCGATCCCAGGTCTTGTCAAGTGGGATTTGTGGTGGACAAAGTGGCGCTGGGGCAGGTTTTCTCCAAGTTCTTCGGTTTCCCCTGCCAATATTCATTCCACCAATTCATCCACAATCACCCTCACCTATCATCTGGGGCTGGTACAATAGGCCAGAAGTGGCCGCAGTACAAGAGACTTAGTCCCACCCCACTAGCAATAAAGAAAAGCTTTCTCAGTCTATATTTCACTAGTAATTACTCGGTAATAGCTCTCCACAATGGTTATTCCTCTGCAATGTCTTCAATAGACTTTTCCTGGTAACGAATTCTTCAGCTTCCGTTGCTCTTTGGTTAACACTTTACAACTGAATCCTCAGCGTCTGACAACAACTGACTCTTCTTAAATGAACCTTCCTTTATAGTCATTTTGCGAAGACCAAACAGATAACACAACCTCTATTATTAAGAAGGCGTGTTTACTGATCCGTTGCCTAACAATGGACGTCCTATTATTGCCCGCGTTTGCTTCCGCGTGAATGTGTTTACCGAATCGTTGCCTAGCAATGGTTCTATACGTCACAATTTGAACGTACTCTTCAGGCACACAAGAATCCGAACAAAACTTCATGAAACATTTCAATGATTAGGCACTGCTTGCCACAGATCTCTAAAGTAAACGGAGAGAATACTGACTGCACGATCTTCCATCCAAAGACTCGTTCTAGTTTCTAAAAAGAAGAAGGTTACTTTAAACCCCACAGTAAAAGAGACACAAGCAGTAACGAACTGTAGTGCCAGAGAAGGTTTATCAGGAAATAAAACAAATGTATCTACAACTTCAAAATACGTATGTTATTCATTCTGACGTGAGTTACAACGGTTATTTCCTTCCAAGGTTTAGACATTCTGGCCTGTTGCACCACAGAATTCATGCCGATACACTGAAGCTAATCGGAATATGATAAGTCTCGTTCGATGGCAGATCTGACCTGTGTAAGGTCTCAAACCTTCACAGAACAAGGCAGCTTTACGCGAAGAAATATCTCGAACTCGAGACTCCAGCGAGAATACGAAAGTCTACATGTTACATACGTACGTTAAAGGTGCAGATTTCTTATGTTATTGAATCTGCCATACATCTAGTGGGGTACGCGGTAACAATTGGTTGAGGCACTATGCTAAAAGCCGGAAAGTCACGGGTTCGACTCCCGATGAGATCAGTGCATTTTTCAATTTACCTCATCTTTCCAGCAGCACTATGGCCCTGGGGTCGACTCAGCCTCTAACAAAAATAAGTACCAGGAATCTTTCTGGGGGTTAAAGGGCGGCCGGTGCGTAAGGCTGACAACCTCACCGTCATCTGTGAGCCGATTGTCTAGAAAATGTGGGAGCCTCGACATCTCACAACCCTACAGGCCTCCAAGGACTGTTACAGGGATAGCTTTACCTTTTTAAATATTCAGTACAATTGTTTTGATGTAATATTAACATATTTAACAATTTCTACCTACTCAGTAAACACGGCGATACAAACGCGCACTGGGATGGATTCTCCCCCCAACCCCAGAATGAGAGCAGCATAAAACCGTAGGAACTCTGGACAGCGCGGCCTCTGATGTCGGCATATACACTGAATATCAAAGAAGGAAATGAACCGTAAACAAGCTTAGCTATGCTTGAACGAATGTTGATCCACGTTCCTTATTCATTAGCTACTGGCTACGAAGAAAACCCGGAAGAAAAGCAATCCTCGGAGCTCTTACAGCTGCAGGTCTTAAACTTATATAGAGGTGCTTTACACGGGCCTGAACGAAGCTCCCGCCCCCTAACCCCAAATCTTCAGTCAGAGAAGACGACATTAAATGTAAACTCAAACAACTTCATTAACATTTGAGGCTTCCACGGCGGTGACTATGAAGAAAGCAGTCTTCTGGGATTTGGCACCGTGTATATGTGGTGTTAACCGACGTTTCGGAGGAACGTATCGCCCCCATCTTCAGGGTTGAAGAAAAAGTATAGGTAAATCTGCAAGCGACAACACCGTGAGACACGGTAATGCAGACTGCGTTACCGTGTCTCACGGTGTTGTCGCTTGCAGATTTACCTATACTTTTTCTTCAACCCTGAAGATGGGGGCGATACGTTCCTCCGAAACGTCGGTTAACACCACATATACACGGCGCCAAAGCCCAGAAGACTGCTTTCTTCATAGTCACCGCCCTGCGTTACCGTGTCTCACGGTGTTGTCGCTTGCAGATTTACCTATACTTTTTCTTCAACCCTGAAGATGGGGGCGATACGTTCCTCCGAAACGTCGGTTAACACCACATATACACGGCGCCAAATCCCAGAAGACTGCTTTCTTCAACTTCATTAACAGATCAGTGAAGAAATTCATTGCCAAACTTAATTTGATTGTGCGTTCCAAAGAGCATAATACACTTACTTTTCAGCATTGGAGTCAGTGAAGGGGCCGACGGGAAATATAACAGCACGTAATATATCGCCTGTGATGAAATATCAGGTCAAATATACACCCAAACATAGGTGTTCCATTAATGTAACTATATTCCCCAATCCAATAAAAGAGAAAATATGCAAAGTAAAATATTTTCTTTAGTATAACTTCAGACGTCCATACTGTCACGTGTTGGGTGGTACGCGTGACGAGAATGACGGGTTCTAGTTCAGATGGTTGACGTATCTCAACACAGAAATTACGTATAACAGTCTCACTGGATCACGCACTGCCAGCATTACACATGATCTCGCACTTTAAATCTTCACAGGTCTTTTCGAACTTCCCGTTGCTGTCACTCTTACTGTTACTCAAACACTCAAACACACTCACATACTCTGAAACACACTGCCTTGGTCAAAATCGAAGTCAAAGCCACATTGCGACTGACGGTCAGTCAGTCAGTAAGTCTTGGTGTCGAGCCCCCCCCCTCCCCCGGGGCTCATAATCAGATATTTATTACTGTTTGACAGTTACGGTCTTGTTTTTTGTGGGGCGCCCTCTCTGACGAGAGGACGGGTCTGTCTTTTGTATATGCTGCTAGTCCTTGCCAGGGCAGTCTTTCTCGGGTCCGAGTCCCCTGGCACTCGCGACCATATTTTACTGTCTCAGATCTGAGACTTTCCTTTTCGTCACCTCCTACGATTCGCACGGTGACGGTGGAGGTATTCGAGCCCGCCTCCTCACGGGGCACTGCCTTGGTTTTTCCTGGAATCTCATTATATAGCCACCGCACTGGTCACAGAAAACAAGTCACGTGATAGTAGTGTTGCAGTGTGACGTCATTGCGCCTGAGCGGAAGTCTGTTTACCGAGCCGTTGCCTAGAATCGGATTACGTAACCCCGTTGCGAACGTGTATCGCGTGTGTTTGCTGGTCTGTTACATAGCAATGCTCTGGCCATCCACGTTACATTATATTATGAAGTTACTAGCAGTGTATTTACAACTTTGGGTTTGTACTTTCATTTCAAGCCCTTCGTAACACAGAAGAGGAGGTAGCATTGACTGAATTAAGCATCAGTGTTTCTGTTATTGACATGCAACGACATTGACACCCGTCACTGGCTCAACCGATCCATACCTGTACAAACACTGGTCCATTACAGTGCAATGCGAGCCCCTGTATTATGGGCAACTTAACAGTGCTGTTACAATTGCAGTTGTTGTATAACACAGAATGAGGGTTAAAATGATCATGAATGGCAAGCAGCAGAATACTTAACGCAAATGCTGTTTCTGGACATTATCCATCTTTATTTAAAAACAAGGCGATGGATAATGTCCACATAATATTTGTATTAATATATCATCTTCACAAACATTTACTTCTTACTAGCAGAATACTCGTACTTACTTCAATGCGTTCAGTAACTTCTAATTCTGAAGCGAAGGCATGTCTCAGTATGCCTACAGGTAGCGTCGCGCATGTAGAAGATCTCAGCGGAAGACTGTAAAAGGGTAAAGTTGTTCCTGTGCTTAACTAATTAAGAACTATGCCATGAAGGCGTATGGGGAGTGGATGTATATAGCTCCACATTTTCTTGGCCTCGGCACTAGTTTGAGATGAATGGTCAGCTTCACGCCCGGCCGCTTTACCCCCGAGGAAAGAGCCCCCGGTATCCGTTGTATAGGAGGTTGGGTGGACCCCAGAGTCGGTCTGGACAACATGGAAAGTGAAAATTTTTCCCCACTGGGACTCGAAATCCGATTCCTCCGTCCCCCGTAGCCAGTTGCTATACCGACTGAGCTATCCCGGCTCCTTCAGCCGAAGACTTTTCATCATGTTATGAATCCAAAATTTTTGTCAACTCTCAACATTTTGTACTTCAAAGGAAATTCCTGGAGAACATTTTCAGATATAAAGCGTTTTCTTTTCTCCTAACGATCATATATTAGTAAGATCGAAAAGTTTGTGACGATGGTATATTCATTAATACAGTTGTGTTTCTGGACAGTATCCAGCGTTCTGATTTCTATCTAAAACGTTTCGGAGACTGGCTTCTCTCTGAGTAAGTTCCTACCTGAGGATGAAGACAGAATCCAGTCTCCGAAACGTTGTTTTAGGTAGAAAACAGGACGATGGATACTGTCAAAGAACGCAATAACTGCAACACATTGGTGTTTTAATCATTTCTTATATGTATATAAGTGATAATGTTTGCGCTTCAATCGTAATGATGTTAGCAAGCAGCTGCACACAGAAGCAGAATATGACAGCTATGGTAAGATGTCGGCCTTTGCAGAAAGTATGACTAGATAACAAAGTAACTCAGTGCAGACATTTTCAATACATCGGTGTCAAGAAATATTTTACAAATTTTACTTTAACGATTATTAGTTTAAATATCAAGAGGCTCTATGATAGTACAATATAATTACCCACTTAAATGCATCGTCATGTAACCCAAGGATTAATCACAATTGCTAACCATCTGCGTGTTAGTTGACATGCACCCGGTAGCCACATTTCTCGCAGTGCATGCGCACCAGCTTTTCAGCAGCAGGACAAGCTGACGTGGTGTTCTCTCTATGCAGGTATCCTGTACTGTCATTGTCAAGGCGGAATTCCACACCACGGAAGATAGCAAAGAGTACTTCCGGCTGCTCCTGATGTTCCGTGTCGTGGATCCAAATCTCGATGAATCCACAAACTCGACTGCATCCACAGACAGAAACGCTGTTCTCACCAATGGGTAACTCTCCAGTTCCAACTGTCTGTAAGGCCTGTAGTCGGACGCAGACCCCTGTCATTACCTCTGAGCCCGCTGTGGGATTCCCGAGAACGCTGTCGCGTAGTGTGAATCCTCAACCCGGCTAAATACCGTTCTTCTGAAAGTTTAATCGTGGACTGTCAGGGAGACGCGGAAAGAAATTTGAAGAGGCATGGGATAGCTCAGTCAGTATCGCGGTTAGACTACAGTAGTTGGAGTAGTTGGATTTCGATTCCTGGTAGAGGTAATACATTTTTCTGTCCTCCACAATGTCCAAATTGCCCCTGAGGCTCGCCCAGCTTGCTATATAATGAATACCCCGGGATTTTTTCTTGGGGGTAAAATGGCAGGCGCGTGAAGTTAACCACTGACCTCCACTTAATATTACGGTTCAGAATGGTGGAGCTATACCTCCACTCCCCCACACGTCATCATGGCGTGGTGCTTAATTAATTAAGCATAGGCATAACTTTACCATTTTACCTTAACATTTATGACTGGATCGTGATTACGCTAAGAAGAACCCCAAATAAATAAATAAATAAATATATTCTTGAGCCTAACCACACAGAGAATTCTAAATATGCCTCACTTTTACAAATTTTTATTTTATTATTCACCAAACACATTTCTTGCCAACAATAAAACAGAACCACCTCCTTCTCTCAGCTGCATGAGATATAAATTATGGAACGCTAAGGATTAATTTCATATCCGAAGACGGTTTTTGCTTTATACAGTATAATAAAAATTCATATTGAAAGTGTTATGGCTCGTAAAATACAGCCCATTTTAACGGTATTACATATAACGTGTCTCTATTTATAGAAACTGTTTTATGAAATGTCATTTGTCTCTCTTCCTTATGCACTACTCCAGATCTTAAGTAGTTAAAAATGTTTTAAAGTTTATGCCACAGACAGATGGGCTATGACGATGATTATAACAGCTTAAGAATAACAGATATCGAATGGTAACTGTCTCACGCTGACAGGTAGTGAATTCACAAATAGATTATGGGGTGACTGCAGGTGCTTCAGTGCGTTTCTTACTTTAAGATGAACAACAATAATGTAATATGCAGAATGTGTTTTTGTCGTTCGTTTCATGCAGGGCTTTCGCTGATAAGATCTCAGACTTTGTGATATTAGTGTATTAATAAAATGCCCTTCCTGTTTTTATTTAAAACAATATTTTGGCTGTGGGGGGATATGGACTAGTTCTATCGATTGTGTCCAACTGAGTAGGCTTTTGCCTGAGAAGGGCAGCAGAGTCAAGTCTCCGAAGCGTTGTTTCATATAAAATTAGGAGGACAGATAATGTGAAAATGTCAGTAATCCTACAGATTTCGTGCTTTCAAGGAACATTTCAAGGCAAATTTGTTTTACTACCAAACAAAAACAGACATGTATGCCGTACTAACTATATTAATTGGTGTGAAATTCACGCTTTGTGTTGTTTAACGAGACACACAACAATTAGAAAATAAAAAAGAAATTAAAAGTTCTTTTTAAGCGGAGAGAAAATACTAAAACCGAGCTGAAATAAGTTTCTTGGACAAACTATCAGTACTTAAGGGAAAATTCAAGAGATTTTTCAAGACTGCTTAAAATTTGATATTTTCTTTCGCGTTAACAAGTGCGGAGTTTTGTATTCATATAAAAAGGTAAAGTTATCCCTGTAACCGGCTGTGGAGGTCCATAGAGTTGCGAGAGGTTGAGGTTCCCATATCTTCTAGACACTCGGATCACAGATGGCGGTAATTTTGTCAGGATTATGCGCCGGCCGCCCTTTGACCACCAGGAACAATCCTGATACTCATTTCTGTTAGAGGCTGAGTCCACACCAGGGCCATAGTGCGGCTGGAAGAATTATGTCAATCGAAAAAATCCATCTCATCGAGAATCGAACCCGCGACCTTCCGACTTGCAGCATAGTGCCTCAACCAACTACGCTGCCGCTTACCCCTTTGTATTCATACTGAATATAGATATTTTAAAAATCCTCGCTTTAGTTCTTAAGGTGCTGTACCTAATTTCAAATGTTTTTAAGTTTATAAACGCATTTATTTCCCTACAACATAAGGATCATATTTCTATGATTAAACTTATAGAGCAGCAAAAAAAAACGAAAAGAACACAATTTTCGTTTGTTCTATCATGTCTGAAACAATATATCCTTGTATCCTCTGTTCCCCATATGTGGAAACAAAATCAATAAGACTATGTCTTGTTAGGCGAGTTATTCGTCTTTATGTTCATACACGTACATTGTGTTACAGACAACATTCTATTACCACAGCTGCAGGAGTACTGTTTCAGGGTAATGGCATTTGGGTTATAACATTTCACAAATCCGAACGTTAGTAACTTCAAGCTGAGGTTTATTTTTTGTTTCGTGCCCTCATTAGTAGGTATTTTGTATTTCCAATATGGATTTCATTACCATCACTGATATCATTATCAAGAGTACCCTAGATTCTGAGGGACACCGATAATTCCTTCATTTCGTTAAATATGGCATAGATGGGAAAAGGTTCGAATTGAAATTGTATGTAGACCTGAGTTCTGTATTACCTACTGTCACGATCTAATCATTAGACGCGAGGGTTTCACCATAATTTGGGCTACTGAACACTTATAACTCGTAACTACAAGTAATTATAACGCTACTGTTAATTCACGCATTCGAATTCTCACTAGAGCACTCAGTAAGTCTTCTCACTTTGTCTTCACTAGACGTTGCTAAGTTATAGCTCCCAACTATGTATATTCCTCAGCTTCCGTTTTCACGTCCTTGCAGGTGGGCGACGCTCTAACGGCTAGTCCTCAGCAGCCGGCCGCACCATAGCTCAAGCGGTTAGTCCCTGGCTTCCCACCGCGGCGGCCTGGGTTCGCTCCCGGGTCTGGTCAAGTGGGATTTGTAGTGGACAAAGTGGCGCTGGGGCGGGTTTTCTCCGAGTACTTCGATTTTCCTTGCCAACCTTCATTCCACCAAATTCTCCATCATCATAATCACCCGGGGCAGGCTACAATAGGGCAATGAGTGGCCGCCGTGCTGCCCCCCACTAAGCGAATTAAAAAAAATAGTCCTCAGCAGGCCACTCATCAGCTGTGATTACTTACGACTCGGCTGGTGGCTTCATTATATAACCTCGACACGGAGCACACAGAAAACACCGCACCCAACAATTTACCGCTACGCTTGTAGCCGCTGCCGCGAAAATGTTTTGCCCAGTCGATACCACACACTGAACCAGTTAGCCATGTCACAATATTATCTCACTTTTTTTGATAAACCGCTTTTATATAAAATATAAATTTCAGTTTGAACATGTAATCAGGAGCTATATTAAGGCTCATACAAAACAAAATTATATTCGTCCGACAAATATCAGAGTACAATGATTACGAAGGTATAACGTGTCTTCATTTAATCATCGAATTTGTAATCAAATAATTACCTGACGCAGGACTACAGCTACGCGCCAGTTACTAGCTCTGAACAGAGCTGACGTCACGCTGGTCAAGTCCTACGAACCGCAAGAAGGAACTGTTGTGGTGTGGCAAGTGTCCCTCCCCGTCATACTGGTTCTGTCACGCATGCGCCAAATTAGACTGGAAGCCTCATTCAGCAGTAGCCGACCCACTGCATCAGCTATGCTGGATGAGTACTGCAATGAGAGGTATGGATAAACTTTCGGCTATGTATATTTCTGTAGAACGAATTGACTTCGATCCTTGTAGCACTGTTTCCTGGCTTGTGTGTTCGGTGTCGCAAGGGAATTCATAATTTCAAGAAGTTTACCGCCTCTGTGGTCAAGTGGTCAGAGGTTCGGGTTCGATTCCCGGCACTACCAGATTTTCTGAGAAGTAGTGGGTCTGGAACGGGGTCCACTCAGCCTCGTGAGGATAATTGAGGAGCTATTTCAAGGAAATAGCGGCTCCGGTCTAGAAAACCGAGATTAACGGCCGTGGGGATTCGTTGCGCTGACCACGCGAAATCCTCTAGCCGCAAAAGTTGACACTAACTTCGCCGACAAGCGGCGGTCGCTCGGTCGATATAGTTCGCTTGCGGACTAAAACCAAGGAGTATTTTTCATCACACGAAAATAAATAAATAAATAAATAAACGTATATACATTAAGAAGAAGAGAATACGTTTTGCTAACGAGATACATATATATGTAAGAATTAATTAAAATCATGTAATGGCTGATTTGCTTTATGACACAACAGCTCTCGAAGTCTCTAAAATGTTATGGATTTCAGTGCGATAATTAATTAATTAAGAAAACTGACGTACCTAATATAAACACTATAAGAAAAATTCTAGAATGACCCAATAAAATAATTCCCGTTGTTTAGACCCTGTACCACAAGCGTGGAGATCTCAACTCAGACCAGCATTTCAGTAAATGGTAAAGCTGACATATGTACTGAAGAATTCTGGACGCCTCTCCGAACTCTGATCCGGAGACGCTTAAATGGAAGAATCCGTACGTTGCACCTCGCCCATGCGCCAGGTGAATCAGCCAACATCAGCAAAATGCTTCATAATCTCAATGATTTTGGTATTGAGGATCTGATGATAGTGGGAGTCCACTGGCCTCGGGTCCAGAAGAAGCACCTCCGTCAGATGTCAGACCTCAAAGTGGTCAACTTATCCGGCAGTGGTATTTCCAGCATAGATAATGGTAAGCAACGTTTTGATCATAATCTCACAGATGCCAAGATTTACCTTGCAGGAGATCACTGTCAATTTAGAATGAATTTTAAGAAAACTTTCTGGAACTACTTTTTTTTCCATACGAATGTATCACTTTCTGAATGATACAGATGGAAGACGATGCACATGTTACTTGTGGTCTATTTTAATGTACCGTCCTGGCATCCACTTTTGAAATACTGAAGAAAACAAACGAAAAATATTCAGAGCCCCAGGTCCCCAGCCAGTTTAATCCAGCCCACATCTTCTCTGTTACGAATCCATTTTACTTGCTTAATAATCCACTTCTTACGTCTCTCGTCTGTTACGTTTGAGGTTCTCACGGTTTTGACAGCGTCCGGGACGTGATGTCTTTTCTTTTAATTTGACGCTACAGCCCCAATTTGGGTCTTGGCTTATCTCTATGAAACTCTCCGTTTCACTTCGGTTTACTACACCTTAGACATTCGGTAGGACTCCTTGGGCGGGTGATCAGCTCGTCGCAAGGCCTCTACCTATATAGAAAAACACAAAAACACTAAATATTCATGCCCTGAGTGGTATTCGAACCCACGATCCCGGCTTCCGAGCGAAGACAGTGCATATTTTAGACCGCTCGGCTACCGTGACCGGCCGTGATGTCGTTTAGTGTTGTAAAATTTATTAGACTACAAGACGTCAAATCCTCTAAGACATTATTACTATGCAGTCATAATCTCCCCAAGTCGTGTTGCATGTCCCCTCATCTCATCCTTCTTTATGTGATTCTCCTAACAATATTCAGTTCATCATACGAATGACGTTCTCCATTGTGTAATTTCCCACAGACTCAAGAAACTTCCCTCTCTTAGGCACTAACATTCCCTTTGAAGAATTGTGCCTTCTGCGATATAACGCCATGTAGTCCTTATCCCAGAAGACAAAACCTTTGATAACAACTGAGGTGAGACCCTCAAACCCTACGCAATATTCTCACTAGCTCCTTAGCAGTTTGTTTCCAAACAATCCAATTTACTTCAAATATTATGTTTCTGGACATTAACCATCGTCCTGTTTTTGTACAACTTTTTTATTGGGCCGTCACAATACAATTAAAGAACTTCAGGGACAACACCCAGATACAGTTCACTACATGTTTCGGCCACTAGTGGCCATCCTCAGGTGAATACACTTCAACAAACATACACCACTGAACTGCAGCACGTAAAGTGCGATACAATATCATATCCTGTTTTTGTCTAAAACACCATCATGTTCATATTTCAAAACACAACGTTTCGGAGTCTGGATTCTGTATCTGTCTTCAGGTAAAACTTATTCAGATTGACCCACTCGATAGAGCTAGTCCCTATCTCCAGACACTGAATTCTGTCTCTTTCTTCAGGTAAAACCTACTCGGTTAGGCCCAATTGATATAGCTAAGCCCAACCGAGTAAGTTTTACTTGAAGCAGGAGACAATCTAATTTCCGAAATGTAGTGTTTTCAAATATAAACTGCACGGTGTTTTAGATAAATCAAGACGATGAATAATGTCCAGAAATTCATTCATGTGTGGCTCTACAGCCTTTTGTTGGGATCTGACCTCTTTTTCAGTTTCGTAATCTTTTTATACAGACGATAGGACTACTTGGACGAGTGATGAGCCCGTCGCAAGGCCGCTACCTACACATAAAACAAAAAAAAAAGCACAGAATTAACGCATACACAGACATCCATACCTTGAGGGGGATTCGAACCCACGATCCCAGCGTTCGAGTGAGCGAAGACAGTTCATGCCTTAGACCGCGCAGCCACTGTGACCGGCATGTCCAGAAATACGTTATAATATTTGTACTAATGTTTACAACCGTCACAAACTTTTAGATCTTAATCCAGTTTACGTTAATTCCTTAGGACGAGAGACCAGGTTTCAAACCATAAAACATATAAAGTTAGAATTAATTATTTTAATTATATGTTTAATTATGAAATAAGTATTTTTATGTTAAATGATTTCAGATACCTTCGACTCGACACCCAACATCGAACGCCTGGTTCTCTCCAAGAATCGCCTGGAATATTTGCCCAACAGCATCTCATCACTGAGGAAACTGAAAATGTTAGACCTCTCAAGAAACCCTCAGTTACACGTAGAACACACCGTTAATATACTGAAAAATGTTAACAATCTCCGTTGGCTGAATTTATCCCAAGTGCCATTGAAAACCTTGGAGCCTCTCAGGCATATAATTCATTATACGAATAGCACGGAACATAATGCAACTACGGTCCAACTTTCGGGAATTGATTTGAGTGGCTGCGACCTCACCATTACGGCAGGCGATGTCGTATTCTTTGACTTCATGGCCTCTCTTCTTCACATTAACCTTTCCCACAATCATCTGTCCACATTGCCATACAATATTTTCCGTTCACTGCACAACTTGGAATCACTCAATTTAGCGTCCAACATTCTGATAAACGGATTTAGGCTTCAAATTGGAGTGAAACAAACTTTAAAACTGCTTGATCTGTCAAATAATAAATTATCAAATCTCGAATCTATATACTTATCAGGAACAGTGGAGGAAATCAATTTATCTGAAAATGCAGTATTGGAGTGGAATAAGAAGGACGTATTTCTAAAAGCTGACGACCACAATCGAACTTGGGTAAAAAGCGTCAATCTGACACGCAATGCCATTACAACGATTACTGAAAACATGGTCATTTCGCTTCTACACTTAGAGAGCGTTGACCTTGGAGAGAATCCTTTCGATTGTGACAGCTGTGAGACGCCAACTTTCCAGAGATGGCTCAGTCAACACAAGAGCACCAAAGTTTTTAATTTGGGGACCACAAACAATTTAATCTGTGTTGGAACAAGATGGGAAAGAACGGAAATCATTAGCGTTCCATTCAACAACACATTCTGCTTGCCAGCGGTAGAAAATGCAATATTCGACCCTGCTGTAGTCATTGGGTTACCAGTGCTGGTTGTAGCGGCTCTAGTCCTGCTGTCCGTCATCACCGTCTATGGGTACCGGTTCGAGATTGCTTACGTAAGACATCTCGTCAGCATCCGCCGGCAGAGGCACATCAGAGAAAATGAGTCCATCGCCCATTACAAGTACGATGTCTTCGTCTCTTACTGGTGAGTTCACAGTGTCGGAAATTCGGGAGTGTCATTGACCATATTTTTTTTCTTTGACGCTACAGTCCCAATTTGGACCTTGGCCTACCTCCATGAAACTCTCCGTTTCACTTCGGTTTACTAGATCTTATACATACGGTAGGACTAATTGGGCGGGAGATCAGCTTGTCGCAAGGCCTTTACCTGTACACAAACACAGCAAAACGCGCGCGCAAACACACACACACAAATACCAGACATCCATGCCCTGAGAGGGATTCGAACACATGATCCCGGGTCCTAGCGAACGAAAACAGTGCATACCTTAGACCGCTCGGCTACCATGACAGGCGTCACTGACCATATTCTGCTTTAAATGTGAGACCATTTTTCCAAAGAGATTCTCTAACGGTGTGTCACAACTGTTCATTGTCTGTGGTATGTTTGACATACACATATTTTATACAGTTGGTTCCACTCCCTGCTTTGGGCGATCGGTTGCCATTATACTGATAGAATTCTTAATTCTTTAGTTTAGGATTACGAGCGATCGTTGAGATCAAACCCAGGACTTTCTGAATAGTAAGGCCGCGCCATAGCTCAAGCAGTTAGTCGCTGGCTTCCCACCGCGGCGGCCCGGGTTCGATCCCGGGTCTGGTCAAGTGGGATTTGTGGTAGACAAAGTGGCGCTGGGGCGGGTTTTCTCCGAGTACTTCGGTTTCCCTTGCCAATCTTCATTCCACCAAATTCTCCATCATCATAATCACCCGGGGCAGGCTACAATAGGCCAATCAGTGGTCGCCGTGCCGAGTGAACCCAGTTGGACTCCACCCCCCACTAAGCGAATTAAAAAAAAATTCTGAACAGTAGTCAGGCCACAGCCGCCATCACTGATCTTAAAATCGTCTATCCATCTGTATTCCTGTTGCTCCCACTTGAGCATAGGGCATCCGTGAAACATTTCGTTTCACTTCAGTTTCTTAATCCTAGACAGCAGGTAGAAATCCTTGGACGGAGAATCAGCTCGTCGCAAGGCCGCTACCTGCACAGGACAACACAGACATCAATGCCTTGAGTGGGATTCGAACCCACGATCCCAGTGTTCGAACGGGCGAAGACATTTTATGCCTTAGACCGCGCGGCCAATGTGATCGGCAATTTTAACATAAGAACAATAAAAAGACAGATCAGTAGCTTCTGATGACGGTCACAGGGAGCAGATAGTATCCAATTCTCGAAGCGCTGGGTACGTCGGACAATAAGAATGCCTAACACAGAACTGGTACAAAAATTTATAAAGCGATTTTCCGTTAATTCAGGACTGGAAAAGCGACAAAATGAATTACATTCCTCTATGATCAATCTAAGTGTGATAAAAAAGAAATAACTGAACACACAGATTCCCGTAAAGTTCAACACAAATGTATGGCAAAAACAGTATAGGAACTGGCATTCTATGACATTTGAAATACATATCAGCTCTAACACAAACGGCGGGATGTGAGATAAATTAAATCGTTTAATTGCAAAAACGGAGTTGAACTAAAATGTTTTGAGACAGATGGCGCTGATGGTTAAACTCAGGCTGAAACCTATGATGACCTGCTGCATAATTGTAGTAAATCTGGGGTTAATAGGACCACAGCAAGCAAGTCCTCAGTATGGATTAAAGAAATGGCAGATTTGTATTTGTCTCCAAATAGTTCAAACAACCTCCCCTACCACATATGATATTTTCTTAGCTTCTTAGTTAACTCCTAACTCCGTGGCCTGTAGTCCGCAAGCTTACTATAATGACCGAGCTACCGCCGCTTGTCGGCGAAGTTAGTGCCAACTTTTGCGGATAGAGGGTGTCGTCTGGTTAGCGCAACGGATCCCAACGGCCGTTAATCTCGGTTTTCTTGACCGGAGCTGCTATTTCCTTGAAATAGCTCCTCAATTATCCTCACGAGGCTAAGTGGTCCCCGTTCCAGACACACTACTTCTCAGAAAATCTGGTGGCGCCAAGAATCGAACCCGGGACCTCTGAATCTGTAGGCAGGAACTCTCATCATTAGACCACAGAGGCGGCCTCTTAGTTAATTAAATCGTACAAAATTCCAAAAGTATGATGACTCACTTTTATTCATCATATCCAAAAATTACTCCCCACCTGACCTCTGAGCTGGGTCAGTTGGGCGTCGGGTAACTAACGAAAGGAGTTGGAAGCCTTCTGTTTGCAATGTTGCCCAGCCAGAACTTAAATAATGAGCATCTGCGACTAGTTTCTCGGGGATGAAATGACCACAGCCTGAAGCTCGCTATTCACTTCCACGAAACACAGAGGTCTAGAATGTGAGGACAACAAGCCTCTAACACAAATGTAACTATTAGCATTGCCCTGCATGTTATTGTACACTGTGAAGCAGAAGTCTGCATTCGACTCTGTACATGGTCAATATCGTAAAGGTACAAGAACGGCAACATGTTAACATGGCGCGCCACTGAAACATGCAGGCTGGAACCTTCTGTAAAGAAAAGTATGAGTAGATCTTATAAATCTTGTGGCTTTCTGAGCGCCTCCCAGCGCACAGTCTCTTCAGAAACCACTGCAACAGAACGCATGGGATTAACAGTACTCAAAGAGCTCCCAGTTTTGTGAAGCAGGTGCTCACATATAGTACTGCACATCTCACGTAATTACATTCCCAGCTATTCCGCCTATTAAACTTTGAACTCGTGTTATAAGTATTTATGAAAATAATTTCCCGTAATTAACTGGTTAATCTCTTCCTATCAGCGACTCTTAATTAAAGCCAGTACATTAAATACTCCAATTAATCTGGGTCGCCTCTACATGTATTCAATCGACACTTTCACACACGACTTAATTAAGGCCCATTTTTATATTATCCAGATTTAAGCATTGTAAAGTGTCTCAAAGCCGGTCACGGTAGCCGAGCGGTCTAAGCCATGTACTGTCTTCGCTCGCTTGGAAACAGGGATCGTGGGTTCGAATCCCACTCAGGGCATGGATGTTTAGTTTGTGTGTGTGTGTGCGTTTTTCTGTGTTTGTGTACAGGTAGAGGCCTTGCGACGAGCTGATCACCCGCCCAAGGAGTCCTACAATATGTGTAAGATCTAGAAAAACCGAAGTGAACGGAGAAGTTCATGGAGGTAGGCCTAGGCCCACTGGGGATGTAGTGTTAAAGAAAAAAAAAGTGTCTCAAGTGTTAGATTTCCCGAATAGAATTCTGTATGCATTTGACAACTCAAACATGCATGCGACCTGTCCCTCTCATATTCTTTTCACTGTTCTATAGCCCCCTTGAGCCCTGGCCTCTGATTTTCAGTTTCATGATCATTTTACAGAAGGTAGGACTCCTTGAACGAGTGATCAGCTAATCGCAAGGCCTCTACCTAAAGACAGGACAAGACAAACACAGACTAAACACATAAACATACCAAACATTCATGATTTGTTCGGGATTCGAACCCACGATCCTGTCTTCGGAGCAAACGAAGGCAGTACATGCCTTAGACCGCTCAGCTACTGTGACCGGCTCATCCATAAGTTCACTTACCGGTGACTACGAATGGAGAAACTCTTCGAGTAGATTCTAAAGGGTTCTGACCATCGGGATTACTGGGTTTTCGGACTTTGTCCACTGTCCAATGACTGAGGTTAGCTCATTCTAACGGACTAAACAGAGCAGGTGTCTCCCACTCTTCACTTTAGGACGGAAACAGATTTATTTTCCGAAACGTCGTGTTCTTTAGAATACCTGTCGGCGGACAAAGCCTAGAAGCCCAGTATTCGCGAAGTAACTGAACTTGGCACTGATCTATGTTGGCCAGTGTTGCTGACAGAGACTGGGTGATCGACGAGCTGCAGCCCGAGCTGGAGGACGGCCCTGAGAAGTACCGCCTGTGTCTGCACGAGCGAGACTTCGCGCTGGGCTCCATAATTGCAAACAACATTGTGGAGAGCATGAAGGACAGCAGAACCACACTGGTCGTTCTCTCGCCTCACTTTGTCAGGAGCCAGGTGCGTCACACAGAAGTGGCCTTGAACTCTGCATTCTGTTCGTTCGTTCCTAGGTTACATCATTACACTGGGTAGTAGGCAGGTAAGTAGGTAGGTACTAGGTGGCTGGGCACGTATGAAAGTAGGTCGGTATGTAAGAACAGAGGAAAGTAAGCAGGTAGGTAAGGCCGCGCCATAGCTCAAGCGGTTAGTCGCTGACTTCCCACCGCGGCGGTCCGGGTTCGATCCCGGCTCTGGTCAAGTGGGATTTGTGGTGGACAAAGTGGCGCTGGGGCAGGTTTCCTCCGAGTACTTCGGTTTCCTCTGCCAATCTTCATTCCACCAATTGCTCCACAATCACCCTCACCTATCATCTTGGGCTGGTACAACAGGCCAGAAGTGGCCGCAGTGCAAGGGACTTAGTCCCACCCCACTAGCAATAAAAAAAGCAGGTAGGTAAATAGTGGATGGGTAGTAGGAAGGCAGGTATTTAAATTGGTAGGTAGGAGGGTAGGGAGGTTCGAGTAGGTAGACAAGTAGATCAGTACGTAGATGAGTGTATAGGTATGTAAGTAGGTCGGTAGATAGGTAAGTAAACATGGAGGTACGTAGGTGGGTAGATAGAATAGACAAGCAGCTCGGTATGTAGGTGACTACATATGTGTGTTTAGGTATGCCGGTAAGTAGGTATATAGGTATGTAGTAGGTAGGTACATACGTTGGTAGGTAGGCGAGTGGACACGTAGATATGTATGTCGGTAGGCAAATAGGTAAGTACGTAGATAGGTAGAGGGGTACGTAAATAGGCAGGTACGTGAGAAGGCAGGCAGTTGAGTAGGTAGGTAGATGAGGTTTTTGAAAGATATCGTGGCATATTTCAAATACATCCCAGCATTCGCCTGGAGAGAATCATGTAGCCCACGGAAGACTACAGTCGGAATACCGATACTCTGTCGAGATACGAATCTGCCGCCTTCAGAAAAATCTCAGTTTTGTATTTTGTTAGCAGGAATTCTGTTAGTCACTCCATAACTTTGGCCTAGTTAGTGGGTTACAGAATTAGTCACTCAAATAACGAAGGGTCTGGGATATAACGCCGTTTATCCCAGTAGTTCACCGACGTTACGGAGGAACGGACAGCATCCATCTTAAGGATCGAAGAGTAGGCCAAGCTGAAGAAACGTGTGACTGTGTTACTGATATGATGATGATGATGATGATGATGATGATGATGATGATGATGATGATGATGGCCGGGGAAGGGAACGTATATACCTTATTAAATTTGCCCGACAACTTTCAGAACAAACAATCAGCTCTTAATTTTAATCGAAATCCTTTCACGAGTTTCAGATAGACACGACCTCCCCTGTAGGCAGTTTACGTAAAGAACACTCAACAGCACTCGTAACCTCCTCGCCTGATTGTCTCTTTTTGCAGTGGTGCAGATGGGAGTTGGAAGTTGCGAACCACAAATTGTTTGAAGATGATCGCGAATTCCTAGTTCTAGTGGAGCTCAAGAAGTTGGACAGGAAGGCGGTCCCTCCTCACCTGTCCTACCTGCTGGACACAAGGACCTACCTCGAATGGCCTGAAACATCTGGACCTCATCCTCTTGCCTGGAGGAGACTGAAGTGTGCTCTTGGAGAGAGCTTGTACCAGAGGAGAAAGAGAGACGGGCCTAGCGAGAGAAACATTGAGTTAACCAGTTCCTGTGACTAAGATTGCAGACACTGATGGTTTCGGTTGCTATTCGAGTGCAGTGTCTCAGAATTTAGAGAAAACAACCTGCTCCGTCGTAAAATAAACTTCTATTTACAAACTCAAAGAAACTATTTCAAACAAACGTTATAAGATATGGCCATGCCCGATATTTATTTTCGTAGTCTTGTGATGCATCACTATATTCACTAAAGCCCTCCGTAGGTTAGATAAACAAAGTTAAATTTGTTCCTGTGCTTAACTAATTAATCAAAATGCCATGAAGACATGTGGGGGAGTAGTGGTATACATCCACCATCTTTGACCTCGGCAATAGAGGAAGGTGAGTGGCCAGCTTTACGCCCTGGCCGCTTAACCATCGGGTAAAGATCCCCAGGTACACACTGGGTAGGAGATGAAGTTGGCCTAGAGCCGAGCTGGACGCCATGATGTAGAAAATAATTTCTTGGCCTTGTGCCTTAAGTTAGAAATATTCTAACTTCCTTGAAGACAGCGTAACTGACAGAAGAACATCGTCTACCAAAAACAAAATTAGGCTTATGCAACATCTTGCCGGTATATCAATGCTTTATGTATAATAAGAATGTATTTCAGACTGCAATTTCGACATATACAGACGGCATGCTTGGCTATAATAGAAGACTGTTCTGGCCATATTGCTTTGGGCCTGGTGACATGCAGGTTGCAGTCTGATGAGATTAGTTCCGTCTGAAGTGGACAGTAAGTGTAACTGGAACTGGCAGAATTTATGGACAATCTGTCATCTCAAATCGAGACAAATCACACGGCCATGCGCCCATCCTCTGAACGTCGAGTACACAGTGCCACTGTTCTGTGGCGCAGCGGAGAATTATCAGGGGCGCGCTTCTTATTGTAATACATTAACTCGCTAGTACGTTTCGCAGCTCCTAATTAACATAACGATTTACAGCTATACAGGAACTTCTGTAACACCTCGTCTTATTAGTTGAAGCATTCAGATTGAAGTTTATCATAGGATCCCTAGTGCGGATGTTCAAGTTTATGATATTCATGATTTATTGACTGATGTCCAATTTAGCGAAAATATAACGGTTATCGATGTTATTGCATACAAATAAATTTGTAAAATATATTACGCATTCATGTTTTCAGTATGTTCCTCGCTCCCTTTCCTTTCTTAAGGGAAATTTAGGCTTATACGAAAACCATGCTACTTATTTAGTAAGTAGTTACTATAGGATTCTGACGATGGTGTATAACACACAGAGATATTGGGTTTTCGGACTTTATCCATCGTCCTGTTTTTAAGATAACTAAGAAAAACACAACGTTTCGGAAACTGGATCTGTTTCCGTCCTCAGGTGAGGGAAAACACCTATTCTGTTCGGTCCCTTAGAAAGAGCTAGCCTCAGTCACTGGTCCAGTGATTGAGGCTAGCTTACCTGAGGACGAAAATGTATGAAATTCAGTGCAATATGAAAGCAAAAATTAAGAGTTCTTCTTGAGCCCGTTGTATATTTCAGTCTTTCTCTTATTACATTGAGACGTAGTTTCTGCTGATCAAAAGGGGGGAAATATGTAATCTTGTTGGTTAAGAAGTGATTATAGATGTTTCCTTCGTTAATCTTTTCATACAACGAAAAAATTCAGACAAGAAAGCCCGTGCTTTACAACATCAAATGAGATAGATTATCGGTAAACAGTCCCACATGAGAGTCACGTGCTAGAACCTCGAGCTAGACTCAGAGCTTCCTTCATTATTGTATTAGCAGCTTTCTTGTCCCTTAAAGCACGAGCCTCAAGATACATTTAGATTTTTCAAACAAAATTCTATTTGCGTACCTTATTTTTTCATGAGTGTACATTTCTATGAACAATAATGTTCACTGAGCAGTATAAATTCTGAAGCCATCCGTATAACATTAACTATGTGAAACACGATATCGGGTTTTCGATTAATTCACAGTTATTGCAGTTATATGTATGATTAATGATTTCAGACTGAAGCCTTTCATCATAACTGTATAAGTTTCAAGCCCCCTGAGTTTGTGTCGACTTCGCGAGTCGTAACCCCATTTTACAGCAAGCTTAAAATTAGATTATTTCCCCCAACTTCATCACATATCTCCATTAAGTTACGTGAAGACCTAAATGTGTACATCCAGCAATGAATCCTTTCAACTGCGGTTATGTGAACAGCATATTGTGATGTCTTGTTAACCGCCGCAAGACACGGAAATGACAACACCTCACATACACTTAAACTATTTTCCACGATAAATTATTCATCTCGTTAGTACGTTCTTTGCCTCAGTAAGCATAATTTTATGAAGACGCATGGGGGAGTGAAGGTAATGCTACACATATTCTTACTCTCGTCACTAGGTGGAGGTAAGTAGTCAGCTTCACCCCCCCCCCCCCGCCNTACGCCCTAGAAAATGTATGGACTCTGTGGAGAAGAAGAAATATATCTGCGGGGAATCAAAACCAGATTCCTCGGTCATCCATCCCCTAGCCTAGTACCTGTACCTGTACTAGAAGAGCCAATAAATCCAGCCATTCAATTTTGAAACCCGCTATTATCAATAACGGAACTATAACTATGTGAACTTGTTATTTTTATATCAGTGTATGTCAGGATTTACGTGTCCAGATACAAACTGTCTAACGTTTAACTGAGAAGTAGACTGTTCTCTCGCATGAAGACGTGTACTTTCGGTTAGGTTGTCGTTAGATGCTTCTGAATTCTACTGAGTCACATCAGACTTCCAAGCTCAACATCGCAGGGGCGTGTACAGGAACAATTAATGGTGCATACAGATATAGTAATTCATAAATTAAGGAATTTCGGGAAGACCTTTTTACTCCTTTTCATTTAGTCGTTTTTATCTGCCTCAAACTTGTAGCCGAACGTGATGTAAAATTAGGCCTGTTCTCTCCTGTTGTTTGTATAACTTAGTGCATAACTCGTTCTATACGTCGTTCTTAAAGCTTACTGAGTGGATGTAGCAGGCAGCGACAAAATATTAGGCTCCTATTTACTCACCTCAAAATAAATGCACGGTTTGATGTTCTCTTATGAAGAGTTCTATCTTCTGGGATATAACACCGTGTAGTCCGTTGAAGGTCAAACGACATTTCGGAAGAACATATCGCCTCCATTGTCAGGGTCGAAGAATAACCAAGCCAAGCAACAAAAACATGGTGAAGCAGGTCGCAAGCAGAGCTTCTGCTAGTTTCTTTTTTGTCTTATTCTTCGACCCTTAAGATGAAGGCGATATGTTCCTTCGAAACGTCGGTTGACTTTCAACGGGCTACATCGCATTACATCCCAAAGAGAGAACTTGTCGGGTTTTTTGTTTTTCTTTTATTTACAATAACGAGGCTAGAGCATTTTTCATCAAACCCCTTCATTTCTGGCGGGGAACCTTCGGAGACAAAAACCAATTGGGATATCCGTACGATATGGCAGTGTTAGAAAGATAGGCTACGCGGGCGTGCACAAGATTCAAGTGACTCAGAGGTCTGTGTATACTTCAGAGTTGTTATTGTTGTTGTTGTTATTATTATTATTATTATTATTACTATTGGGAGCCGGGATAGCGGAGTCTATATTTTATTGGCTACAGGCTGGACGGCCAAGGGGTCAGAGTTCGAGTCCCGATAGAGGCACGATTTCTCTTCTCTCCACGACGTCCAGACCTGTTCTGGAGCTCACCCAGCCTCCAATCCGTTGGGTACCGGGGAATATTTCCCCGGGGGTACAGCAGCTTTGGCATGAAGCTGACCACTCACCTCAGACTAGTGCCGGAGTCAAGAATATATGGATCTATGCATGCACTCCCCCATATGACTTCATGGCGTAGTGCTTAACTAGTTAAGCATAGAGGCAAAATTTTATTATTACTATTATTATGGGCCTTGTAGCTGTTAACGCAAAACATAAATAATATAAAACTGAACTGAAATATCGTTATCATCATTATGATTATCATTATCATTGTTGTGACCCTTTCCAATGCAAAATTTATCATACATGGAAATTCTATACCAGCGCCCAGTTTCTGAAATCAAATATTAACCCAAACGATTATTCCCTAGCTACCTGGAAACTAAATGATGAATTGTTTGTTTTATTTGTTTATCTGTTCATTCTCTTTTCTTCGATCATTTAATAAAAGTCCTTACATACAAGTTCAGGTAAGCTTATGGTACACGAATTTATTCGACGTTATATCGTATGAGCTAACGACGGCGCAGTGAAATAAATTTACACTATAGCCTCCGAAAGTTTATAATTTTGTATTCGTGCGATATTTCTGGTGAAATGCACCAAACGAAAAATGTTTCGCTCTATAGAAAATCCGGACTGTTCCATAACCTTTGCGACGGAGTGAATGGATTACGAATTTCCATAAATTCCATTAAGAATGGATTGCCATCAATTCGATGTATACGTTCTGAAAGCCCTCCAAAAACATTTTCACGGAACCGCGTTCAGTTTAAGAGAGAAATGGAGGAGTGACAAAACAATATTGATTTATCAGCACACTGAGTTAGATTTCGCTCGGAAAAAAAAGCCAGCTCATGTGACTTGCAATTGGTTTACAGGAACCTCACAAAGCGAACCTGATGCCCGACTACATCACTTCATATGGCCTTAGTGGAATAACTCGTGCTTGAACAGGCCTTACAAAGTTATTTCAGACAGAAATAAATATGCAATGCCACATTTAACAGAAATCTGTGTGAATATTTTTTCTAGAAGTGAGAAAACCGTAAAATATATAAAGAGAAAACATAGATATAAGTTGGGAACGAAAAAAATAAACATATTCTGTTATGCAGATAGCACAGTATTCCTTATAGACAATGGAAATGGTCTTGAGAGGATGTTGTGACATATAGACCTATTGCTAGGCAACGACTCGGTAAACACATTCCCGCGGGAACCAACGTGTGCAAAAATAGGACATCCATTGCTAGGCAACTGATCATTAAGCATGCCTCCTTAACAATATTGGCTGTGTTTTCTTTGTGGTACGTGTAAATTTGTTATAAAGTGTTCTGCAGCATAAAGTGAACTACTGCAGACAATGACTCTGACAAAAGACAGACCCGTCCTCTTGTCAGAGAGGGCACTCCACAATAAGAAGACTGTAACTTTCAGTAATATATATCTGGTCATGAGCTCCAAATGGAGCTCGACACTAAGACTGACTGACTGACCGTCAGTCGCAATGTGACTTTGACTTTGACATAAAGTGAAGTGTAGAGTGGAGTTTTGGGATGCCAGCCTGCCCGGATATGAGTTTTGAATTGATTTAAGTCGAGTTTTTGGAATTGGCAGCTACAGAATAATGGCAAGAAAGGAATGAGGCTGCGAAAAGAAGATTCCATGTGTGATTTGAAGTGACAGTGAGGCTGTTATAAAACCATTGCCTGCTGCATACGGCTAGAGAAGACTAAGAATTCTTAAGCGTGTGTAACGGTGAACTGGAAATTGTTTAGATCAGCGACAGAGCTGTATTGTCTATAGTTATGAGTGCTGTGAATAAGGTGTCAATACATCCAACCATCCAACTGAAAACCCGTCCTGTAAGTCACGCGTAAACCCTGCACGTAAAAATATTTTGTCTTGTTTCGTTTAGTAGTCAGAAGTTTAAAGGGAGAATATCTACAATCAGTACCAAAAATATTAAGGGGTCTTACAGCGGTAGCTGCTCCGGTGAAAATCAACTGGCGTTTCAGAGGGGGAGGGACTTATAGCATATATCCTCAATTTCGAAACGTGAGTCAAGCATAAAACCAACATTAAGAAGGCAGCATGCTAATTTTTTGCTTACCTTGCCCTTCAACCCTGAAGATGAAGGAGATATGACCCTCCGAAACCTCCGTTGAATTTCAACCGACTAACTGGCGTTATATCACCACTGCGGTGAAAACCTCAAATTCAATAGAGGATAACACATATTACACATAAGACAAATCAATTTTAAAACAATTTAAGAATTTCTAAATTCATTCATGAGAATAGTAGAGTCTTCTGAGATGTAAAGATGTGTAGTTCGGTAGATGTTCATCATCTTCTACCGAACTAGCAGCACCACATCCCACAAAATAGAA